TTTCCTGGCCCAGCTTGCCTTTACACCACAGAGGAGCCAGAACAGGCCCAGAGGTGGCAGCCCCACCCGGCAGCATGCTTTCACTTTTTCCCTCACAAAAATCTTCCATAAAGGCCAGCTGTTACAATGTTGAAATGGAGAAATGCTATTATCCTGCCCTTCCTCACAGGCATGGCAGCGGACAGAGATGGCTTAAGTCACTCCGTAATGGTCAAAGTTAGCAAAGGCCTCTGATGTCCAAAGTGAATCGGCTGGGAATCCCGAGGGGAACCGAGCAAAGCAGTAGTGAATGTGGCTCTCCGGCCAGTTTTCTGAAAACAGGAATGGGTCCTGTCCTGTCTCAGAATAAATTCACGCAGCTTTCCGACCAGCCACTCAGGTCTGTGTGACACTCTTCTTCCAGTGGAGTGGCTCCAGATGCCTGCCTTTGCACGCCCCAAATTGGTGTTGTCAACTTAAAAGTTCATATTCAAGAACCCTGCAACTGAGTTACAAACACAGAGCGGGGCTGGGCAGGGTGGGTTCTGGTCAAGGCGGCCCTGCCCATCACTGACCCATTATTGTCTGGGCTCCATGCTCTCCTGTCAAAAACTTGAAGGCTCTTCCTAGGCTGCCTCTCTAGCTGGCACCAGCCTTCCGCCTTTTTCTTCTCCCAGTGTGAGATTCTTGGGGAGAAATCCCAATTTCTTTGGAACCACATCCCCAGTGGCCTCATAGCCAAAGTGGGGAGAGAGGACAGTGCCTCTTGAGATAGGTTGATTGCTTCGGTACCATGATACTAAGATTCTTTGGACTGACATACACAAGGCTGTGATTTGCATTATGGCCTGGGACTTTCCCTGCAGTGAACTTTGCCATTCCAGGTTGATATGCTCGAAGGGAGGAGGGAGCAAAGCTGGGATGCTCCAGGGAAGGAGGAATTGCAAGTGTGAGGCCAGGACTCACTGTGCCCAGTCCGCAGAATCATGAGAAAAGCCACCGCAGATGGTAATGTCAGCTCTTCGGGCGTCTTTCTACAGAGTTATTCATTTGATGTATTTGAATGTTTTTGTCTGCATGTTTGTATCTGTACTACGTGCGTGCCTAGTGCCCAAGACATTCAGAACAGGGCATTGGATCCCCTGAACTGGAGTTAAGAACGGTTCTGAGTCTCCAAGTAGGTGCTGAGAGTTGAACCTGGGTCCTCTGCGATGAGCCATCTCCAGCTCTCTAAATATCAACAGGAGAATCTCCTGATCAGACAAGGCCATTTTTACTGCTCAGTACTGGGGGGGGGGGGGGGGGTTGGGGCTTTGGTCATGTTTCTGAGGGAGGAGACAAGGTCAGGATATTGAGAGTTGGAAGTTTGGTTTACAGTGTGGGGACCGGATTAAGATGAAAGATCTGGATGTAGCAATCTAGATGTTCGACAGCAAAGGCACAGGAGACAACCCACACGTGCACATACACACAGGAACGCTTGCACACGCTTGCACATGCATAATGGAACTTTTTCACCCAGGAAGGATGGAGTTGTGTTGTTTACAGGGAAACGGATGCTCCATTTGTCAATGCCTCTAAAGGGTGCTAGTAAACAGAATTGACACCTTAGTTAGCCACTTGGACCCAAAGTGGAGACTTAGCAGTGGCTCGGAAAACTAGGGACAGATGCCCAACAAAGTCACTTTGCCAGTGGGATTGGTTGCTCCATCTACTTCCAAGCAGGGTAGATTGAGTTACAGAAAGCCCCAGGCAGCTGGTGCAGGCTCTGCCAACCAAAGCAAGCAGCTTGGCCGTGGCTTGGCTCCTGATCTCGAAGCAGGAATCTGTAGTCACGAGGCATGGAGCCCAGTGTTATGTAAAGGATGGATGACTGACCTTGTTGGCACCAGCCTTCACAGGTACCTCAGAAACCAACATCCAGGTTAGCAGTCGCCAAATGCCGGAAGCAGGGACAGAGGAGGCCCTTGTCTGTCCATCCCCCGCTGCAGCTTTTTCAGCTCTTTCAGGGAGGATTGAAACTTGTGGGCTTGTGATGCTGTGTAGTATTCTTGGTTTCCACGCAGCCAATGACCCTCTTAGCACTGATTTGATTCTGAAGTGTGCATCGCCTCTGCAGGTGTTATGGAGACTGGCCCCGGGGTTTCCCACTTCCCGTGAAGTAGGTTACCTGTGAAATGCAGCCCATATTTGTGCCTTTGATATTTAATTTGGGATATCATTTTTGTGCCTGTTACAGGTTGATAGCCTTAAGAAGCCAAATGCCAGAATGAATTGAAATTTGTGCTTTCTTTGTTCTTTAAGGAAAAAAAAAGAGAGAGAGAGAGGTGTGTGTATGTGATAGGTCAGAGGATAACTTGTGGGAGTTAGTTCTCTTTTCCACCATGTAGGTCCTGGCTAGGTTTGGAGGTAAGTGCTTTCACCCACAAAGCCATCTCGCTACCCCTGGTTTTGCTTTTCTTTTCCATGGATAGGTATTTTGTCTGCATCTCGGTCTGTGCACTGTGTGTGTAGTGCCCTTGGAGGCCAGAAGAGGGCATCACATCCCCTGGAACTGGAGTTGTCTTCTCTTTATTTTCAGTGCTCAGTTTACTGAGAAAGATGACTAAAGCCAGCAGGTGCCTCATACCAGGCAAAGAGTTGCTCCAGGGGGCGCTGTTGACATTTAGCATAGTTGGGTCCCTGTGCAGGTCTGCAGGTCTGCAGGTCCACCCTAGCCTTCCTCTACTGGGCTCAGTCCACTTCCATTGTTGTAAACTCAGCCTCCTCAACACCTTTGCCAAAGGTCCTCTGCTCTGGCACTAGCCCTTGGTAGATACTGTTGAGTGCTTCCAGAGGGCTGATGTGTGCCCATCTCTGGGCTCATGCGTCTGTGGCAGTAGAATAGAATACCCTATAAGCCTGTTTTGTGCTTTTATTACCTAAGAGTTACATAGTAGCTTATGCTTGCAGAATAGCAAGTACTCATCCTGTACAATGTCATTGGAATATGGGTCTCTTTGTTGATTAAAACTGAGAATCTTCCATATTAGTTGGCAATTTTATCTTGCTTACCTTTTCTGTTAAGCTTTATAGCGCTGTTCATAATAGGAAAATATATAATGGATTATAGGCTTCATCATTATTTTTTTTTGACACTTCATTTTTCTGAGACTAAGTTTTATGGTAGGAATTTTGAGAAAGTGCTGAGTCCTACATATAGTATCAAATCCAGTTTTCTCGGTTAGCAAGTGTACATACAGTTGGCCGTCAGTGAGCACGCAGATATTTTATCTGGTTTGAAATTAATCTTAACCAGTTGACGGTGTCTCTTGGCAAGCTGAAGGTGATAAGGAGGTATTGTTCCTTAGTAACGTGAAGGACCTAGAAGGCTAAAACCCTATTGCACTTACTGAACATAATGGTTTCTTTATACTTTGGGTCCTAAGTGAATTTCCTTGAACTTCACTGAGAGAACTTCATTGTTGGGATTCCATTTTTCAACCTGCATCTGGGATTTCTCAGTGGCACAGAGTGGACAGTGGGCCCTGTCCACCTGCCCGTGTCACTGAGTAGAGCAAACAGTGACACTGGAGGAAGAGGAATGATTCAGAAACTGACGCTGCAAAGGAGGGTTGGGGTGCAAGGAATCCAGCTAGAGTTGCAGTTCTCTCTCTCTCTCTCTCTTTTTAGACAGTCTTTGGTTTCCATGTCTGGCTGTGAATTTTCAGTGTCCCTCCTAAATCCCCAAACAGCACCATCCATTGGCGGCCTGTGGAGTAGTGTGGGTCCAAGCCCGCTTCCTGCGGTTCCAACAGTTGCTGCTGCTTTCCAGGTGGATTCATCATGCTGGTGGTGACAAGAATCCTCAGTTTGACAGGGGCAGAGCAGGAAATGTCACTGTACGCTGAGGATAGGTTTTGTAGGAAATGGGCCAGGAGAGCAACGGGCCAGTGACAGCAGTGCAGGTGCTGGTCCTGCTCATCAGCAGCCGAGAGACCTTGGCCTGTGGTTTTCACACTCCCTTCTTGGAGTGACTGTTTGCTGCATGTGCCGCCTCACATTTCACGCCCTTCATCCTGTTCAGTGGGACAAGCCGCAGAATAACAAGGGGCCCGGATGACACAAGAGAGCCGCTGAGGACTTAGCTGGCCTTGTGGAGGGCTCTCCCCTTGACATGCCCTTCGAGACACTGTTTGCCTTGTGATAAGCCTGCCAATCGAACACTGTGCAGACCACGGGGAGGGCTCCCTAGTTTTGTCACGGCCGAGCCAGGGCGTGGGGCTGAGTCTGCCATTCCGATTCCTCAATGTCCCCTTCTTCCCTGGGTCTCACGTGGTGACAGAAAGTCATGTCCCTTGTAGTCACTGTGTGGCTGGTGTGGCAGTGGCTGCACTGGACCTTTCCTCAGATCGGCTCCTGATTGTGCTCCACTTTGGGTTGGCAGTGCTTGGAGGTGACCGACTGGAAGGGAAGTGAGAGACAACCCTTGCTCTCAGGAGACCCCACCTCAGGAACAGAGTGTTAGGGTTGCGAAGACCTCAGCTCTGTCTTTAAAGGCATCTCTTGGCCCAGGTTGGCTTTGAGCTCACGGTGTAGCAGAGGATGACCTTGACCTTCTGACCCTCCTGCCTCTTCCTTCCTAGTGCTGGGATTACAGGCATGCAACACTATGCCTGGTTTTCTGTGGTGCCGGGGATTGAACCCAGAGCTCTGTGCATGCCAGGCAAGGACTCTACCAACCGAGCTGTCTCCCTAATCCAGGGCTTCTGGGTTTTAGTGTATTTGCTATTGACATTTCCTGAATGGCTGTGAAGTAGTACCTAATGGCCCTGTCATTGCTTCCTGGCTCTGATGTCATTCTGACATTTTCTTTGGGTCAGTGTGTTGGGGTATAAATAGATGGATCCAGACACAGCCACCTGGGCCTGGCCACCACAGCAGAGGCCGAGTACACAGAGCACCCTGTGGGAGGAGCCTCCCACCTCCCTCCCGCCTCGAAAGGACCAGCCCTCCTCACCTCCGTTGTCCTTGTTTTCTAGATGATGAACCAGGTGGAGGGTCAGCAGAAGAACCTGGTGCATGCGATCGAGGCTCTGCCAGGCTCCGGCCCCCTCACTGCCCTGGACCAGGACCTGCTTCTCCTCAAGGCCACCTCCGCTGCCACCCTCAGCTGCCTCGGCGAGTGCCTCACCCTGCTGCAGCAGAGCGTCCGCCAGGCCGGCCCGCCCAGCCACAAGCCAGGAGCCTCGGGTGAGCGCTGCACTCCTGGCCCCTGAGCTTGTCCAGTGGAGATGTGGAACGCTCTGTTTGTGTATGTGTGCTCCGCATCCCAGCCATCCGTTCAGCCTCAGTTTTCTGAGGCAGGCTCTCTCTGTGTAGCCCGGGCTGGCCTTGATCTTATGGTGGTCCTCCTGCCTCAGCATTCTTAGTGCTGCAGTTGTAGGTGTGGTCCACCATGCCCTACATTTTCACTCTCCATCTGGCTCTCCTTTGGGCCAGCCAAGTCTCCATGCCTCCTCCCCCATGTGCCGTCCTATGAAAATGCATCCAGAGTGTGTCCGCAGACCGCCAGGGCTCCTTGCAGACGTGGCAGCCCGCCCTGATTTTCACTCTGTTCATGACTCTTGCCCGCAGTGCTCCGCTTTTCAGATCCGTCTCTGGGTCCCCTTCCCCCAGCATTTCTGTGGCGTGCATCCGACGCAGCTTACCAGCTCCTCCAGATGACGCGCCCTACTCATGTCCCGTTCACCCCCCCCGTAAAGTATGGGTTCATACCAGTCCCTTGAGGGACAGTGTCATGCAGGCCTCCCTTGGGGGCTGGTCATGTGGGAGGATTTTGCTGAAGAACATCCCAGAAGCATTGCTAGTTCCTTTTCCAGAAGCCAGAGACAGGGACATAGAGCTGTGAGAGAATTCAGACCCATCTGAGGATCGAGTAGTAAGCGGACGTAAAGAGCTTGAGAGGAGAGGGCTGGGGAAGTGGAGGGCTCCACCGGTGAAGCAGTCAAGACAAACCAAAACCAAAACATAAATCATCTCAGCCTTTGGAGAGATGGCTCACGGTTAAGAGCACTCGGCAAAGCTAGGGACCCGACCCCCACATCAGGTGGCGCATAGGGAATCTGGTGCTCTCCTCTGGCCTCTACAGACACCTCCACTCGTGCAGGTTTACACCGACCCCTGTGCCACACACATACACATTATTAAAAATAAAAGATCGGTAGACAAGACTGTCCAGCCACTGTGCCCAAGGGCCCACCTATCTCTGCTTCCCCAGACCTGGACCACAAGCTCAGGAGTATACCTGCTTTTTGGTTTTTACGTGGGTGCTGGAGGTCAGGCTCGGGTCCTCAGGGCTGCACAGCAACACTCTCCACTGAGCTAACATGCCTGCACGTTGGAAGGCAGTTTGCTCGCCGCTGAACACAGGAGCTGTACAGTACACTGATGGAGACGTGTTTACGTCTGAGGAGGGCCAGGATGGGTGGAATCAAAACCTTTCAGGGTTTTCGTGGCTGTCGGACCTGCAGCTTACCAAACACCCCTGTGTGTAAGTCTGATTTACCCATGGGTTGGCTTTCTGATTCTTAATCAGTTTTTATTTTTTAATCAAAGTGATTTTTCACACACACACACACACACACACACACACACACACACACACACACACATCCCTCTCTCCCACCTCCTCTCTCCTCCTTTCTTTCCCCACCTTTCTGTCCACCCCACCTCTATGTTTTTTTTCTTACTCTCCCAACTCCTGTTTTAAACTCAGGTAGCCCAGATGGATGTTGAATTTGCTCTGTGGCCAAGGACCTTGAACTTCTGCTCTTCCTGCGTCTACCTCCCAGTCTCTGGGAATAGAAGCTACTATTTATGCTGTGCTGGGGACTGAACCCAGGGCTTTGCAGAGGCTAGGCAAGCACTCCACTGAGTTCCACCCCTGCTCCTTGTGATGGCCTAGTAGCTCATCTCCCATAACATCTCAGAATGCCACCTGGGAAGCTGGTCAGCTGAGGTGCCGATGTCTGCGCTCCGGCCCCTCTTCTGTTCCAAGCTTGCTTTCAGACGTACCTGCTTTCCTTCCGTGCAGCCTGATTCCCAGGCCCACCTCAGATGGTGGCACATTGAATGTTTTCAGAGCGGTCTGTGAGGAAAAATAATAAAGTGACTGGGCTTTTCGGTCAAGTCTTGAAGCATGCAGCTCTCTTGCCATTCCTGCCTGTTCTGCGTCAGCAGCGCAGTGGGGACCTGGGCCTGGTTGGGAGGAGCCCAGGGTCTGTCTTCCCTAGCTTAGATCTAGTCAAAAAGTGGGCAGAGACAGGCCTGGAGCTCAGGGCTGAGACTGCACCTGGGTTGCCAGCGTTGAGGTGAATTGAAGCTTGAAGGGACTTGGGGTGCAAAGGACTCTGTTTTCCTCCTTGTTGGGTACTTACCACCAGGCTTATTGTTCAGGGAGTGAAATCCAGCCCCAAGCAGGGGCTGTAACCACACAGTTTGGTTCAGAGTCGGAGCCAGACCTTCCTGGCCAGTTGGTCATGAAGTGGGTTTGGGGGATGGGGGTGCCGGCAGAGCCCCGGTGGGCCTGCATGAGGACGGAAGCAGGACAGGCGACGGGAGAACCAGAACAGAAAGCAGCTGTCTGCTTACCCTTGCCCACATTTCAGAACGGTTTCCTTCTCTCCCAAGATCCCTGGAAAGTGCTGTTGGGGAGAGTTAAATGTGATCACACAGCTCCTCTGGGCCTTCCTGGCAGACTGCTTCCCTTTTCTCCTCTTCTGCCGCCCAGCACCTTCCTTTTCTGTCTGCTCCCTTCTTCTGGTGTTGCTGCCCACCACCAGTCACTTTTACTTCACGGCTTGACGCCAAGATAGAAATGCAGTCACACTGGCAGCCAGTGAGGTAGGCAGGAAAAGCTACAAGCTAGCCTCGAAGTAGGTTTCAATGGGTAAGATTTGAATCAGTCAAAACGATGTTTCCGAGTAGCTATTTTCTCCGTAAAGAAAGCATCCAGTCAGGAACTGGGAGATGGCTGTGTTAGTACAGCTCTTGTCATGTAAGCATGGGGACCGGAGTTCATGTACTTGAAATCCCATTGGATTGGGGAGGTAGAAGCAGAAGGAATCCGACTGGCCAGCCAGGCTAGTTCAGTCAGCAAGTTCCTGGTCACATGAGGGAGACACTGCCTCAGAAGCACCAGGTGGCAGCACCCGAGGACTGACTGGCTGAGGTCCCCTCCGGCCTCTCCACACGTGTGCTCACCACTTCTCTATGCGTGTGTCCATCAGGAACACAAGCTTTCTCGCCCAGATAGGCCTCACACTTTCTCCGCTTTGGAGGTTACAGCCTGCGTCGGGAAGCCCTAAAGGTTTACTGACCCCGAGCGACGAGGTCACCAGGAGCTGGCAGGTGAGGCTTCCAGGGGCTGTCACCGGTCACAGCCTCTGGGCAGAGGTCTAGTGACACTCAGCACCCTGAGGCTCCTGAGAGACACACGACTCCAAGACATTTCAGCCAAACTTCTGTTTTTAAGGTTCCATGTAGAGCCGAGCAGAGTGGCACACACCTGTGATCCCAGCACTTGGGAGACAGGTAGATTGCATGTTCGAAACCAGCCTGGGCTACACAGGGGCTCCAAAAAGGGGGGGAAAAGAGAAAGAAAATGCAGCCTATTTCTCTGCTCGCCTGGAAATGCCTCTCGCTGAAGCAGATACTTATGTCTTTAAGTGCCAGTGGTTGGACATCCAAGCCAGGCTCAGCTGATGGGGTTTCTTCTTCCACACTGATGGCCACTTCCCTCTCCAACACTGTCATGAGTTTTCCCCTGCTGTGTGTGCATATGTGTGTGCATGTGTGTGTGTGTGTGTGTGTGTGTGTGTGTGTGTGTGTGTGTGTGT